GCGTCAATGATTGAACCAAATCTTTCTATTATGGCATGAATAGTGTTAATGCACTCTAGTTGTCCCCACCCCCAATGCCCCGCTGTAAATCCGTCCCTGACCCTACACCACACAATCAGAAATTTAAGAAGATTTATTCTCTCTGGAGTCTGAACTAAACCACCAACCACTTATATGTTGATGAAACAACGTTAACACACATCTAGAAAGGAGCAAAATCAAGAAAAAACAAGAATCATGTAGCATTCTTGTTCCTGTTACAAGAATCCTGTAAAAGTGAAGGATTTGGAAAAAAAGAAAAGAAAAAAAGCAATCACAAACGGTGAGCTATTGTAGGACATGGGCGCTGAAGACGATGATAGTGTGTTTGATCAATTTGCAATTTTTCTGATACCAAATGACATCAACACTCTGTCATCATCTTCCGCACCTAAGTCCTCCTAGAGCTTCAACTTCTACTGCCAACTCTCTCTCTCTCTCTCTCTCTCTCTCACATACACACACACACACACACTTGACAGTCGACAATATTAAGACCTTGTGTTAATAGTAACACTATTGCTTGTACTTCGTACTACTCTCTCTTTGTTATAGAACGAGTGATAATAGTAACACTAATGCTTGTATTTCGTACTACTCTCTCTTTGTTACAGAACGAGTGATTGTCCTAGATCTGCTCTAGAACTTCTTGTACTTTGTACTACAATCTAGTTGTACAAAGTACTTCATTATTTATATTTATATAAAACAATGTGTCCTACCTCATTAACAAATTGGGAAATGATATTCTTGTTAAAAAAGTCTTACCCAAATATCAATGATTAGGTTCTTAAGGGTTTGGCTCTTTTAAGACCCAAGGAAATAGCGAAAGCTTGGTACAAAAAATTAATTTGCACATAATTTAAAGTAAAAATTGAGTGCGAGTCCTCGTAGATGGATTTATAATGACTTGAGTTCTAGAATGAAATTTATTTGGGGTAAGTTCATGTTTAAACTTATATGTAGATACTTAAGTCACTTATTTTTTAAATCTCAAAATTACCCCTAACGGTATTAGTTTTATACATTTATAGAAAGTCACATAGGTTAGAACATTGAAGTATATATGAAAACTCTTGATTAAGTTATATATGAAAACCGTTTATTAAATATTATGATAATTAACTGAAATTTTATATGGAAGTTATATATTTTGTTAGTTATATATAAGAAGTTTAATGTACGAATAAATTGTTGATCTATTAAATCAAAATCAGATAACAAATTTTTTCTAACAACAGTAATGCATAATATAGGGAGATTGAACAATGCATATGATTTAATATATAGTAACATTCATGTTACTATATGATTGAAGTTACAATTAGGATTGTGTTACTATACTGACATTAATGTTACTATAGTGAATTTTAACATACAATTACAAATCTTGAGACGTATATTATGTAACATACATTTTAATATTCATAGTAGCATTAAAGTTTTGTGCTCAGTAACACATCTAATTTTACAAACTACAAGACAATAGTTTTTTTATAGTAACATCAACTTTCGAATGATTTTAGTGAAAATACGATCCACAAAATAAAAATTTATAAAATGACGAGTAGTAACACACAATCGACAGTTGAATTACGACACTCAACACCAATTATGAACATCAAGATATCGAAACTCTAAACTCCATTTTTTTTATTCACGTACAATAACATGAACTTTTTTCACAGTAACACAACCAAGAAATACTCGATTGTCTTACGCAACAAAAAAATCAACAAAATTGAAATCTATAACACTTGAATTTAGTACTAATGTATGAGTTCTCTTGAACCTTGGTTACAAGGTTAATGCACACTTTGACAAAATTAAATTTATAATTGTTATTACTTTTTTACCATGTTACTATTTTTTTGTGAGCATGTTATTATTTTTTTTATGATCATTTCGCTGTCTTTGTTGAGTATGTTACTATTGTTATTTTTTAAATATTAATATTTTGGAGATGAAGTCCAAAGTAAACTGGAATAGTAAATTAAAATTGTATTTTATGGAATGTAATGAGTTTGAAATTTAAATATGAACGGTTTTTTGTAAATTTCGATTTCTTGTTTTTTGAATAAGGAAACATTGTGGCTTGGAAGATTGTAGCCGGATTTGAAAGCGATTATGAATGAGATGTATATTGTTAATTATTGTGTCCATAAATGTCGTTTATAACATTTTTCACATAAAAGTGTTACAATAGTAAAATTAACAAAAAACGGACTTAAAATCAAATAAGTTTGCTTGACGAATTTATCTCCAAATAAGGCTATATAAGGGGATCGACCTCTAAATATCTCTAATTTAAATGGTCTCAAATGTATTTTGTAAAGGTGTAACTTGAGCAGGCTAACATGAACCCAGCCCAAAAAGGTTGAAACTTCAGGCTCACGGATCCAATCTGAATTTGGGCTGAATTACTAAACATTGGGTTCAACCCCAATTTAACTTAGAAAAATTTTGAGGTCGGTCCTTCTATATGGACTTATGCCAAGAAAACTTATTTGTTATGAAGTTCATTTTTTATCAATTTTATCAGATTATTTATTCCCTTTAGAAGTGAAATAAAACTAAAAATTAAAAACTCTTAAATTTTAAGAGTTTGACTAACATTAAAAAAATTTCTCTCTCATATCTATCTATATCCATATATAGGTTAGGATTATATATATAGTAACATTAAAAATAAAAAATAGTAACATTCAAATACAAAAAAAAAAAATATCATTTAAACACAAAAAATAGTAACATTTAAACGCAAAAAAATAGTAACATTTGAACATTAAAAAATAGTAACATTCAATATTAATATTTATAAAAAATAACAATGGTAACAAGTTCAACAAAAATAGTAATATGCTTAACAAAAATAGTAACATGTTTAACAAAAGAAAAATAGCAATATGAAACATTAAACAAAATTAAAAATAAAAATAATAGTATTTAAACTCATAACCAGAGGAAGAAGCCTCCAAAAAAATAACACTAAAAAAGTAATAATATTTTCAATAAAAAATAATAACATGAAAAAAAATAGTAACATGGTCAACAAAAAACGTAATAACATAAAACATTAAAAAATTTGGGATTATCTATCAAAAGTATAAAAATAAAATTGGGAATTAAACTAATAACACATTGAACAAGTTTTTCAACCTTTTTTTCTTTTTCTGAAATTCAACGACATAGAAGTTCATGATGACCAGAACGCAATAGAAGATATGATAGTTGTTGATAATATTCTAAATTCTACTGATTTTGATGCTATGGAGGAAGAAATGATATTTAAGGAAAAGATATATTGTATTGGAGTGATGATCTTATTCTAACGAGAGAGAGAAAGAGAGAGAATATAAATTTCAATTTCAGTTTAGGAGTGAATTAAAAGATAATACTTTTTAATTTAAGAAATTAATTTATAACTATTTTCAAGATTTTTAAGGTTTCTATAATTAAGCAGAATAACACTGTTAAGGGTATTTTTGAAATTTAAAAAAATAGTGGACTTAAATACTTATTAGTAATAAAAACCAGACTTATCACCAAATAAGTTTCCTTGACATACTCAACCCATTATAAAACCATCCAGAAGGACTCAACCCCAATTTTCACTTTAACATATCACACTAAAGTATTTTGAATCCTTGTTTAAGCATTAAAATATATATACCGATAAAATAATGTGCATTACTTGCACTCATTAAGAAATTTTTAAAGCACTAGAGGGAGTACACGTTCCCTGGTTGAACCGATCTGAGATGTTAAATAAAGAACAAAAGAAGATATCTAAATTAGAATCTCCCATTGGTTAGAAATTGTTTAGCAATACTTAGTTCTCAAAACTGTGTTAACAATTGGATCTCTTGGTTTTTGAATTTAAAGCATTTCAAACAATAAAAGTTAGTTTAGTTACTCAAAAAATAAAATTTACTATTTTAACTACTCACTTTTTCAATACACACTCCAACATATTTTTTATATTTTTACTACTTCCTTTAAATATTATTTCTCAATTTTTTTGTATTATTTTTCTTTGGGAGTAGTGAAAGGAAGAAAGAGAGAGAATGAAGGAAAGGAAAGGAGGAGAGAAAAAAAATATTATAAAGTATTTATACATGTTATTTAGAGTGTCACTGTAACAAAATGTCATTTTACATACTTTGGAGATGTTATTCTGGAGTGAAATTTTAGGGTAAAATAACTAAATTTTAAAATTTTTGTATATTGTAACTCCTCTCTTGGAGATGCTCATAGAAGATCTTTGTTTGCTTAACTTCTTCCCTTAGGGTTCCAAATTTAATGATGATAACTAAACACGAGGGTTGTGTTCATTGTGGGACTTCACCCAAAACCTTATAACATGAGTTTAGGATGTTGACGGCGGAGGGAAAAAAAGTAAGTTTTGCTTGTGATCTACCTTCCTTGTTTTTTCTTGTTTTGGCTCTTAAAACTTGGTTATTTTGGCAGTCTTCTGGTCTTCCTCTTTCTAAGAAAACCTTTTGGGGCCCCTTTTAAGACGCTCAAGCTCCTGAAGGGGAGAGATACTTCTCTAGGTCTAGGGTGTCGATGGTCTAGTCGGAATACAGTGTGGAACCCTTAATGAGGCTGAGGCTGAAGCTCCTGAAGGGGAGATACTTCTCTAGGGTGTTGATGGTCTCGTCGGACTGCAGGGTGTTCCAGGGTAGGGAGGAGGGTGGTCTTTGTTTGGAATCCAAGGGAACAAATCACAGCTCAAGCCACAATGGCTAACCGCTGAATTCAAAGAAATAATCGACATAAACCTAAAGATCCTATGGTAAAAAAAAATATTAAACAAAGTTGGAAATGACACTTGGTGGGAGTAAGAACAGTAACGTCACCTATTAATCTGAGAAATGGAAACCAAGACAGAAAGGGCAAAGAGAAAGAAGGAAACTTCTGAAAATGCATTCGCTTATGGAAATTTACAAAGCTGTTGCTTTCAACAGGAGCAAGCACATCTCCAAGAATTTACATTTCCCACCTCTCAACCTCCACACCATACGTGTTTTAAGTGAAAAAAATGAAAGAGCAAAATTAGGTGACAAAGCCAAAGGAAAAGAAATCTCTACTCTCTCTCTCTCCCCTCTTACGGCACCCCCTCACTTCCAATGCTTAATATGATGAAAGCCAGACCTAACTGATCAAAATATCACTTTCCCAGTGCTGAAGCACGAGTGTATGAAAAAAAAATAGAACATTTACATAAGATGTTCCAACAATGTCAATGCGCCAAATCCTCACTCCCTACACCAATGCTTGACTTGTCAACCATGCGCACGTTGTATTGTTCGTATACTCTTGCCCGATTCTCCGCCCACCATTGTTCTGCTTGTTTCTCACTAAAGCGCTTGCGACTGCATCCATACATTAATGCATGTGTT